ATAGCCGCGGGACGCGTGCTCAGCACCAGCACGCCCGGATCCACCACGGACCGACCGCGCGCCGGCCGGCACAAGGCTCCGTGCGACGGGAGACGAGGCTCAGATCCCACAGACAGTAAGAGGAGACTAGGAGGATACTGCGAACCTCCGAGAAATAAATCGACAACCCAGATGAAATGCCCAATTGCCTTGAAAAACACAACCTTCCAAAGCTCGCTCAAAAATGGAAGAGGCTCTGCATGGCTCTCAAAGCTGTCGTGAGACTGACTGAGGGTGACTTACAGCCTTCCCGCAAAGTGGCTCCGGCCCCATGCGCGCTCACTGATGCACTCCCCCAAACATACAGGAAAGAAAGAATGCCAATTCTACACAAACAGAGACTCGGTGCAGACCGTGGAGAAGGACAAGCTGACTCTAAAATGTATATGGAAATGCAAAGGACCGGGAAAAGCAAAACTAACCTAGAGAAAGAAGCACAGAATGAGAAGATTTACCCTACCCGATGTCATCAAGACTTCAGCTATAATAATAAAATAATCAAGACGGCGTGCTATCACCGCTGGAGAGACGTCCCGCTCAGCAGAACACAACAGCGTCCGGAAATAGCCCCTTCCATTGATGTTTACTTGATTTCTGACAAACGTTTCAAATTGATTCAATGGGGGCAAAGGAGAGACTTTTCAATAAATGGTTCTGGGACAACTGGATACCCACAGAGAAAGAATAAGCCTCAACTGTTGTCCCAAACCACAGGCAAAACGAATCTCAAAGTGGATCTACAGATGTGGACCAAAAGCTAAACGCATAAGAAGCCTCCGGAAGGGAGCACGGGAGATGCTCTCGGCATAGGGGGAGGCAGGGGTCTCTTAGGACACAAGATGCACCAGAAAAGATAAAATACATAGGACTTCATAAAAATTAAAACTTTGAACTCCTCTGTTCCGGTGAAAGGTGGGCCACAGGTGGGAGAAACATTGTGTGTGTGTTCGTATACATATGTGTGGATGTGTCTATGTACATGTGTGTAGATCTGTACGCACACATGTGTAGATGTTCATAAATACACATATATGCATATACACATACACACATATGAAAAACTTACATGCAAAATACGTAAAGAGTTCCTACAACTCAATAATAAGAATCCGAATGACCCAATTAAAAATTGGCAAAGACTTAACCTTGAGAAACAGAACGGCCAATAAGCACACGGAAAGACGTTAAACATCCCTAGTCATCAGGAAAATGCAAAATAAAGCCATAATAAGATACCCCTGTACGCCTGTTAGAATGGCGCCAGGACCGCCGAGTGCGGGGGAGGATGCGGAGCCGCCGGAGTGCCCACACGCTGCGGGCGGGACCGCGAGCTGCCGCAGCCCCCTCGGGTCACAGTTCGGCAGCTTCTGATAAAGTGAGTAGCGATCGTGGTCCATGACGCGGCCCTCGTGTTTCCACCTCTCCCCGGGAGAAACGAAACACGTCCACACAGACTCGGGCACAGTTCCTAACGGCAGCCACACGTGGAACAGCCCAAACTGGAGATGCGGACCCCACGGCCCCCAGCAGGTGTGTGCGGCGTGGCACAAACTCTCGAGCATCCACACCGGGGAGCGGGGCCGGGCAGGAAGCACCTGGACCGGCCGCCACGCGACCATGCACGAGAGAGAAGCCGGACGGAGGGCACGCGCGGCATGGCCTGTTCGTAGGAAACCCCAGAAGATGCACGACTAAAGCACAGTGACAGAGAGCAGGCCCGGGGAAGAGGAAGGGCCCCCCGAGGCCCCGGGGGCTTCCCGGGGGACAGGTGTGCTGGTTTTGGTGGCGGCCGCACAGGTCCGTGTGCCGTCACAGCTCGCTGAAGCACACACGTGGGAAGGGCGCGTCGCGCTGTGTGTCAACTGCACCCCAGCAGAGCTGCTCTGTTCTGGGGGTGCGTTTTTCTGTGGGGGGTTCACACCCCTGTGCTCCTCGGGGAGTCTTTGATCTGTGATCCAGGGGGACCCAGGAACTCTGGTTTACACGCGAGCCCTTGCGGCTGGAAGTGGACACACCTGGTGAAGGAAGACAGCTACCTGAGCCAGCATTTTCTACGACACCCTTGAGACGAGTGGCTAAGCCTCAAGCAAGCTGGTCCTCTGACACGTCTTCCCTCCTGGGGAGCCACGGGCCCCGCACGCCAGGTCTACACGTGGTAGTCTCCTCCACCGCCGAAGCCACACAGCCTGCATTCAGCGGCCTGGCTGGGGACAGGCGCGGGGTGCTGCAGAGCCCGCTCGGGGGCGCACAGCGAGGCTGGGCCCCCCACCCCCCTCAGGGCCCCTCACGGCTCCCGCCGCCCAGAGCCTCAGCTCGGTGAGGGATGTCGTAGCTGCTCCCACGCGTGCACCTGCTGAAGTTGGTCAGGCCTGCCGTCATCCCCAGGCCGGCCGACAGACCCTGCCATTTCCCGGGACCCCTGCGGGTCCGTCCCAGCCTGCTGTCCTCTGTCCCGCCCTCTCACTCACTGTTGCACCACGGGGACACTACTGTCCATACCGGGCCTCTCCCCCAGAGAATCTAGACTTTACCTGTACCATGAAAGTCGCCATCCTAGCTGTGGTTAGGTGTCCATTCATGTTATGAATGGCCTCACCACCATCTGTCCCCAGAGCTTTCCATCGTCCCCACACTGACCTCTGTTGCCATGAAGCACTAACTCCCCGTTCCCCTTCCCCAGCCCCTGGCGCCAGCATCCCCCTTCCGTCTCTTGGGGGGGTGGGGGAGGAGAACTACATTAGCAGAGCCCGCCGCCCACCGCCCACCACCCCGGGAAGGCAGGGAGAACCAGCAAGGCCCAGGTGCCCTGAGCCCCAGGCCGCCCCTCCCATGCCCTGACCTGACGCTCAGGGGCGGGTGAGTCCCAGCTCTGGGGGTGTGGGGTGCTGCGGCTGCTGCCAGGGGCCCAGGGGCTCCCCGTGGCCAGGCTGATGTGGGAGCCGGCACCGTGCCCCCTTCTTCAAGACGAGAACCCTGCGTGCGGCTGGAGGAAGCAGCTCGGAGGGGAAGACAATCCCAGAGATGAACCACAGGGAAAGGTCCAGGGTTTTCCCCCAAATATTTTATTTAAATATTAAATTAAAAAACATACACCCACTAATCATTTGGCATACATTTCTCATGTTAACATAAGAAACAAAATAATTAAATCAGTTATGGTAAAAAAACAGACTATATACATCTTAGATCACGTAGTGCCTATAACCAGGCGCCCAGCCTGCCCCACAGCGCTGTGGGAAACTAGCAAACACACGTCGCACACACCTGCACACGAGACGCAGAGACACGGGACTCACAGCCAGAAAGAAAATCTCCGTGAAAGTAAAGTGCTTGTCATGGTTCTGAGGCCTTTGATCTGTGGCGTTAGGACAGCGAGGAGTGGAACAAGGGAGCCAGCCGCCTTCGTGTGGGAGTCAGCCGGGCGGCCTCTGTGGACCCGGAGGCCTGCGCCCTGGCTGCCCGCTTGCCCTCCTGCCCCCAGACCCCGGCTACGAGCCAGCGGGAGGCTTTGGTGATTTCTCTGCGGCCAGGCACGAGGACAGTCCCTTCCCCGAGGCTTCCGATGGCCACAGGGCAGCAGCGGCAGCGGCGGCAGGGGCGGGGGGACCGGGAGCAGCAAGCTGGGCAGACGCACAGAGCCGGGCGCGTGCCCCGCGGCCTTCCTGCCCGCCAGGAGCCTGGGCAGTCTTTGGCTTCTACAAATGCCCACCTCTCCCCTGTTAATACTGTAGGTTGTAAGAGCCAAAGTGAGCTGAAGGCACCTGGGTCGGGAAAGGGTCGGGGACCGACGGGTGCAGGGGGGTGAGGCGGCTGCTGCCGGACAGAGCGGCCACCTGCGTTCACCCGCCAGGGGAGGATGCACCTCGTCTCCCTCCTCCACGCCGACCCAGTGCTAGCGCTTTGTAACGTTACCAGAGAGGAAAATTCAAACCAGGAACACAAAAGTGTAGTAAAAAATATAAAAAATAAGTAGTGTATATTTGTCTCCTATTTATATACATGTACAACGTCTGCTTTAAAAAAGGAACAAAGCTTGAACAACACTGATCTGACCTCTCGTGTCATTCTCCTGAACGAAAGCCTACCAAGCGGGAGGCCTGGAGAAGGCAGGGCTACCCCCGGATCAGGAGCCGGCCGCGGGCAGGCGGGGTGGCCAGGCGGGGACCGTGCCCCCCTGCTCCTGCCCGCCGGCCGCACCCCTGCCGTATTGCACGTCCCCCACCCCAGTCGGTTGTTCTTTCTGGACCCTGATAATGAAATGCATAAAAACTTAATTAGCAGCGGAAATAAGATGAGCAGCAGGAAGAAACCTCTCTGGGGCCCTCCAAGGCACGTGGGGGCTCTAGGCCACGGGCCCCGGGCCGGAGCCCCAGCCTCACCGTCACCCACCCCCCTCCAGTTTCTTCCTGTGCCTCCTCTGAAGAATCCTGGAAACCCGACGCTCGAGCAGTTGATCAAAGTTCTCATCTAAAATAAGGAAAAAACCGTCCTTGGGGCCCTGATTTCAGGGTAGAGAATTCCAGGAATTTGTAGATTACTTTCTCCTGGGCTGGCCAATAGAGCTTTTTAAAAAAACGGATGTGTAAAGCAGAAAGTTCACAGTTCTCACTCTGAAGTGTAAATGTTTCGGGAAGTGGAGAATTGTAACTAAAAAAAAAAAGAATACTAAACACACACAGGCAGACACACGATGAACACGCGGCTCACGCCATGGTTTCTCCCGAGGCAATCCCTCCGCGGCCCCCGCCGCCCCCGTGGCCCCCTCCCGCCACCCCCGACCGACCGACCGCAGCGGCGCTGGCCGTCCAGCCCAGCCCCGTTGCCTCTTGCCCTGCCGCCCTCCGTCCCCGTCCCGTCCACCCACCCCGACACGCCCCTCAATTATTATTTTTCTTCAGAAAGTTTCCAGGCCCTACTCAGAGTTACATTTGCTCAGTGCAAGGAAAAAATAAAACAAAAAATCAACTAAAAAGCCAAAACACCAAACGTATTGCTTGTTTCGCTTCTAGAAACTTATTGGCTTCAAGTCCGGAAACATCTTCACATACTCTGAAATTATTGCTTCGAAGGGCCAGCGGCCCGAGCGGAGGCGGAGGCTCACTGCACTAGCACGAATGTGCCCAGCTGGCCCGCCGTCAGGTCCTCCAGCTCACAGTCCGCCTGCGGCAGCCCCACACCCACAAAGCTGGGGGGCAGCGTGGCGGCGGGATGGGGGGCTGTGGCGTGGCTGATGTGCAGGTGGGTGTCCAGCAGCTGGGCCGCTGAGGCCACCGGGGAGCCCCCGGCTTGCAGGAGGTGGGGTGGCAGCAGTGGGCAGGGCCCCAGCCCCAGCTCCTTCTGGAGTCCCGACACGAGGAGCGCGCCGTCACACGGGGCGAGGACCAGCGGGGCCGGGGGCAGCTGGGGGGCCTGCGGACAGCTGGGCGGGCCTGCCGGGTGGTGCTGCAGCTGGAGCAACCTGGAGGGGTGCGAGGGGGCGGGGAGGGAGACCAGGTCACTGCCGCCCTGCCCTCTGCGCCTCCCAGCAAGTTCCGCTGCCCGGCCGGGCGCACGCACTACCGGGGTTCCCCGCCGACGGGCTGAAGGACCACCCCGTGAGCCGCTGGCTGGAGCCGCTCCCGACACGCAGTGCTGTGCGTGACTAATCCCCTGAGCAATTCCTGACATTTCTATTCTCTGCCTTGCTTTTGCAGCAGCTCAGAGATGCCAACCGGACGTGACATTCTTATTCACTGCCCCCTCCGTCCCCCACTTACAGGCGGGCTTCAAAGCGAGGAAACCTGACTGCTCCCCGCCTCCGCCACTATCTACAGGGAACGAGGCCTGACCTCACAGCTCTCCCCACGCTGGGGGAGGTGCACTCATCTGATTACACGGACAAGGGGACGAGCTTAAGAGGTAAGGTTACTCAAGACACCCAGCTGTCCGGGAGTCCTCCCGCAGCCAGTGGGACGGGCGCCAAGCGGACGTACCTCTGCTGGTGCAGGACCTCCTCCAGCAGGCTCCGGCCCTCCCGGCTGCTGGCCCCGCTGCCATGCAGGCCCGGGCTCTGCGCAGGCAACTGGAAGGAGCTCAGGCCACCCCTGGAGGCTCGGCTGGAGGAGGGCTGGCACACCTGGCGAGCCAGCCCCTTGATCTTGTTCAGGCCCAGGAGCCCTTTGGTCCTCGCGTTCTTTCTCAGCTGCTGCCGGAAGGCTTTCAGCCCTGGGGGGCGGGGGGGAGAGAGGTGCACAAGCAGGATGGTCAGTGGATGTCCGTCCCAAGGCTTGCTGGGTTTGCAGACCTCGGGGAGGCGTAAGGAGGGACCCAGCGCAAACATGATGGGATAGATGGCCAGCACGCCTTCCTGCGGGGGTTACGGGTACTCTCTGGTCACCCGGTCACTTCTCACTACAGCCCCCTCCGGGGGCACAGGTACAAGTCTGGACAGAGGATCCTTTGGTGAAGGATGGCATGAGCAGTGCCTTGGGAGAAGGGAGGGAGCCCAGGCAGGCAGGCGGGAGCTGCCTCCTCCGGAGTAGGAGCTGCTGGGCATCCAAGTGTCTCCTGGGCTTTTCGGACCCGCCACCAGGAGACTGTGTGAGTTTGTCCCAGCAGACCGGGACATCTAGAACCTGGGAGCACTGCCACTCGGCCAGGCCTGGCTAGACACTGGGGACACACCCTCTGCCCCAGGACAAAGTGATACCCTCCAGGGGCACAGAGCATCTTCTGGGAAAGCGGGAAGTGTGCACCAAAGGGGAAGTCACCTTGAGTGAGCGAGGTGTCTGACGCCCTCCGACCTTCCTGGAAGCTGATGGGGAGCAGAGTGACCCCTCCTGGGGCCCCCTGAGCCTGCAGCACTGGGGTGGCAGACTGGGCCCCCAGGAGCGGTGAGGCCAGTCTGAGAGGGGAGCAGGTGCCCACCAGCCCCTGAGCGGCCAGGCGTCCACCGAGCCCCCCGGGGCCGTCGCCCGCTGAGAAGGTCAGACAGCTGTCGGAGCTGGTGCCTTCTGAAGGGCTCGCGGCGGAGGAAGAGATGACTATACCTGTGGAAGGAGCATGCACTCTTGAGGGGGGCCCCTGACACTCGCCAAGGCCAGAAGCAGCCCTCCGGCACCCCACAGTTCTCACTGGAAACCAGAAGTGGCCACGGCTCCGGGAGAGGAAGAGGCAGGGACACCTTCTCCGTGCCTGGTGCAGCCTCTCTCCGGCCCATGGGTGGCCCATGTGGCCTGCGGACAGGGGCGGACAGCTGTACTGGCCTCCCCGTCCCTACCCTCAGCCGTGGTAGGGAGGGGTCCATGATGGCCAGAGGCTATCGGAGTCTGGGAGCCGCGACAGTGGCCAGCCTCCAGGAGGGGGCAGCTGCCCCTGTGGCTGACTTGGGGGGCTCCCACAAGGACGCACAGGGGCCTGGACGGAGGACCTGCCCTCCCAGCACCCGGGGGCGGCTAAACCCCACACTTCTGCCACCGGAGGGCAACATGGGCATCTTGGGGCATCATCTGCATGGCCTCGGGGGGTCAAACAAATGACAAATCTGGACACGTGTAATCAGACGCTTCGGTCAGAGCCTCAACCATAAACCCGCCACCCCGGCCGCACTCCAGGCCCACGTCCCTGGCCCACGGGGACACTTACATGGAGGGGCGCACGGGGAGAAGCAGGTGGAGACCTCAGCGAGCGTGTGCCTGCGGCCTGTGCTGCCGGCCAGGGCCTTCTGGGCCCCCCGCTCCTCCTCCAGGCCTGGGCCCTGCCTGACCTCCTCACTGATGGGCGCGTCCAGCAGGCCGCTGGGGGAGATGGAGCGATGCCGGAACACTCCATTACAGTTGGCGTCCAGGGGGAAAAGCAAGGGCTGAGGGGACAGACACAAACCAGTAACTCCCAGGGCTCTGTGGGGCTCGGGCGGGGGTCGTCACCACGGCTGGGAGAACCTCTGCCCCGATGGCCGCCCAGCGTAGGTCACACACCTGGAGCGAGCTGAGGGGGTCACAGTCCGTGTCAGCCTGCAGGACAGACTGGCCCAGGGCCTGGGGCTGTGGGCATAGCAGGGAGGATCGGAAAGAGTCGCTGGAGAGGCCTTCCTGAGGCACCTGGGGGCCAGCAGAGGACAGATTGGCCCTGGGGACCATCACAAGCAGCATCCCAAGAAAGGCCCCACTGGCTTTGCTATGGGGCTGACAGCTTGCTGACTGGGCTCAGGACATATGCACCCTCCTCTCCAAGGCCACACTGCACTGGTCACCCTGGTGTCAAGAAGCCAGACCGGGGACAGTTAAGGAACAGGCGGCCGTGGGCTGGTGCCTGACCCTCAGCAGAGTGGCCAGCGCCCCCTCTGGTCCGTGGCTCACACAGGACGCCCCCATGCCCAATGGGCAGGAGACGTGACCTGGGGACCAGCGGGCTCAGCGTCTCGCATCCCGGGCCTGTCGCAGCGAGGGATTTCTAACAGGGGGTGGGGGACACAATCCAAGGCGGAGCCCCGCGAAGGAGACGGCTCCCCCACCTCAAAGCCGCTGAGATCTGAGCTCCTGGGCCTCTGCGGCCGGGCCGGGCCGGGCCGCGCGGGGGGCTGAGTGTGTCGATACTCCTTCAGCCGCTCGACCAGCAGGTAATAGATGGCGGCAAAATGGTTGTAGCTGCTGTTCTGCAGAGACTGAGGGAGGCGGAGAGAAGCGGGGTCAGAGCGAGGCCACAGGGAGCGGGGGCGGGGCGGCGGGGTCCCGTGTGGGGCGCGGGGGCGGTGCCTCGGACACTTCCCTTCCAGGGACTGACGCTCCCGACAAGACCGTTCCCAGGGTTATTCTTGGGTGGCCGAGAATATCCCTTAGAGGAGTGGACAGCTGGCCCTTCAATGAGCCCATGTTCCCGTTTTAACTCGACTGGCTGGTGCCTGCTTTTCCTCGCAAGGAGCACCTCGCCCGGCCAAGTGCACGCGGGGCAGGGGGCGGGGGGTGGGCGCTCACCTCCACGGTCCTCTGCCGGTCGATGCCGAGGCTGTGCATGATGCCCAGCACCTGCTCGTCATAGTGGCCCAGGTTGGAGTTGTAGCTGAGCGCGGAGAAGGCCGGGCAGGCCTGCCGTGGCACCGAGGGCTCGGCCTGCATCCACCTGTGCTGCCGGATCTGGGCGATGGTGATGCGCTTGGTGGGGTCCACCACCAGCATGCGGCGGATCAGTGTCTCACAGTCTGGGGGATGAGAGAGGTCCGCTGAGCCCGGAGGGGGGGCCACCTGTGGGCACGTCCCCGCCACCACCCACCTGGTGCTCGCCGCAGCCCTGCTGGGGACGAGACTCCCTTCCCGAGGGCAAACAGAAGAGAGACTATCCTGAAGAACGCTGAGACCAGAAGCAGTGGCCTGGTGCCAAGGAGAGCCACCAATCCAGGGCTCGGCCCCCAGGAGGGACATGGTCCTGCTAACCTGCACAGAGGGCCACTTAGACTCCCCAGTGACCAGGCCAGCCTCCCCAGCGGACCCGAGACCAGGCCCTCTCCTGGGGACAGCAGGGCCAAGGCACCGCCTGCCCCATAACTAGGGCACGGAGAAAACACCCAGTGGGTTGGGTTTCTCTTGCAGGCAGCTCGTAAACACCCCACGGTAACACGGGGCTGATTCGCAGACCTGAGAGCACACTCAGACACAGCCAAGCAGGCGTTTCAGGAAATAAATTCCTCCTCCCTCTCCAAAACTTAGGTCATCCCGGGTGACCTAAGAGCTCGTGCCGCAGGCTGGCAGCTGACGCCGCCGGGGGAGAAGGCTGGAGGCGCCTACCTTGAGACATGAAGAAGGGGATACGGAAGCGGCCCTCCAGCACCCGCTGCCTCAGAGCCGGCAAGTTGGGCCCATCGAAGGGGAGCGAGCCGCAGACGAGGACGTACAGCACGACGCCGAGGCTCTGCAAAGGATCACACGCCGCGAGTCAGCGCCCGCGCCCCAGGCGACTTAGCCACTCACGAGATCACTGGCGGCCGCGGGCTCCTACCCAGATGTCGAGCTGGGGGCCTTCGTACTCCTTCCCCTCAAAGACTTCTGGGGCTGCGTACGGGGGGCTCCCACACCACGTGGACAGGGGCTCTCCTGCCTTGTAGAAATTCCCGAATCCGAAATCTGGGGGACGAGAAAACAGACGGTGAGGTCGCCACAGACACGGCAGGGCCCGGGCTACAAAGCTGTGAGCACAGGCAGGCAAGGGGGCCCTGGGAGGCAAGCGCCCCACCCCCGCCCCATGAGCCGGCGTGGCCCGGGCGCCCTTGCCTGCCAGCTTGATGTCCATGCTGCCGTCCAGCAGCAGGTTCTCGGTCTTGAGGTCGCGGTGCACAATGTGGTGATTGTGGCAGTAGTCCACGGCCGACAGAATCTGCCAGAACTTCCTGCGGGCCTCATGCTCGCTGAGGTGCCCGTTGGAGGTCAAGTAATCTGAGGAGCGACAACACAAAGCTACAGTGCGAACACCGCGAAGGCCGGCCGTCCTCTGGGGCACAGCGAAAGAACGCCGTAGAATTTAGGATGGGCGGACCCAGATGCTGGAGGAGCGATTCCAGACAAGCTCCACCGTCTGTTTTCAACAGGCACGAAAAAGAGGTGTGGCTTACCAAACATTTCTCCATTTTTTGCGAACTCGGTGACAATGTAAAGCATATCCTTTGTCTCCATAACCTGAAAACACAAAGACCTAACATTTAACCACACAGAAAGGGAACATACCAGCGGTATAAATAATCCACTTGCACCCCAGTGAATTTTTAACTTCCCCAGGATGAGTGCATCCATTATCTTTTAAAAGGAAAAGAAAATAAACACCTCTGCATTAAAGGAACAAATACGGGGGTTCCTATTCAGAAAAGAATTTAAAACAACAGAGGGGAATTCTTCACCAGCCCGCCTGCCGAAATGCACAAGAACCCGCCCGCATCGCAGTGCTCACCCACCTGCCCCGCCGCCCCGAGGCCTCAGACCCGGACACCGGGATGCCGGGAGAGCGCGGCTGGGGCTTTCTGCTAGAAGCCTGGGAGGCAACAGGTAAACTACGACAGACTGCTCTTTGTACAGCAAACCGCTCGGCTTGTGTCAATAGCAACAGCCAAGGTCAAGTACACCTGCCAGGTTCATGTACTGACCGAGACTTTTATCTTGCTTTGAAAACAATTTTTAAAAGACTTTAAAATATAGCTTATTGAGAAACAAGGCAGAATTAAAATCTGTGGTACGAAAAGAAGGAAAACCAACTCACGTCCCTGTATTTTAAAATATTTCAGAGGGACACACAGAGACAATACACTGTTACAGAAACAGACTTCTTTAGGATTCAAAATATAATTGTTCCTTAAAAAAAACACTGTAAGGACAACTGCTTTCAGCCATAAATCTAACAAGAAAGTGAATCCAGTGTGGGTCGGCAAGAGTTTTAACTGTCCTGGCCCTCAGTGGGTGCGGCAGAGTCGCGAGTAAGAAGACCACGGTTTATCCCTTTCCTCAATTCAAGAGCAAGACGGAGAAAGAACGAAGAGCCAACATGTTTTGAGTTTTAGAAATCCTCAAGGCAAGAGGGAAGTGTCTCCCCAAGGTTGTGGGTCCTGGGCGAGCTGGATGAGAATTACACACCAGGGTCGGAACGCGAGGAAGGACAGGCGCGGCTGTCCCATGAAAGTCTCTCTCGGAGCGGCTCAGCCACCCAAACACCCCCAGAAAGGACCTCGAACTTCGAGGACGCAGACCATGTGCCGTCTAAGTGGGCTGCTCCACACAATGGGCCGGCAGAGGGACAGGAAGACCAGGAAGGTGCACCCTGGCTCATCCCTCCCGCAAAGCCAAAAACAGGCTTCAGCCCACTCCTGCGGAAACAGGCCAGGCACGTTTCTCAGGCACTGACATCAGGGACCATGAGGAAACTTCTTATCAAAGTAGCACAACTTACAGATGACACACACAGAAACAAAGCACAAACCAGAGTGGATGGTGACAGGAGCTCTGCACATAATGACTCTGAGTAAACGGCCATTCAGGGGGAAACAAGCCCGATGACGCTGCTCCTATTTCCCTCTCCTACCACACTGTACAGGCAGCCTTGCCAGCTGCCCAGACACACACGCCGCGCCACATTCATCTCAGAGGCCCAGGCCTTCACGAGAATCACCAGAAGGAACTTACACCCAACACAACTGGATGGAATACTGAGCATTGGCAAGGAGCCTCTTCTGCGAGCAGACTGCCCCTCATCTGCACAAGCGGGCCGCTGAATACAAGACTGCTTCACCGTCCTAATTAAATCAACGCTTATATTCCAAAGATATAATTTCCTAGTTTCAACACGGTAACAAAAATAAAGTCACAAAACAAACCAACAGGCGGACAGGGTGAGGAATGTCCTTAACGTGGATTAAATGACAAGTGCCCTATTCTCACCATGGCAAAAGTATTTTCATCTCTCCAGTTTTGATGGAAGAGTCTAAACGGGAAGACAAATGCTCACTGCTGCCTTTGCAAAGCTAAGTTTACAAAAGCTGGTAAGAGCTGCCGGTTTTAAAGTTTAATAATTATCTGCCAAGGCGGAAGTGTCTCGTTTAACTAAAATCTGTCCTTCTACACGAAAGGCTTGACTTGCGGCAATACATGGATCTGGTTGTTTGTTTTCATAGTAAACTAAATGTAACAACCGACCCCTCCACATCTAAAACTGGAAGGAACGACAATACTAACTCAAATTTTGATGAAGCAAATCTCAATTATGATCCAAAAGCAAGAAAATAATTGAAAATACCTCTGAAGAGCTTACAAAAATCAATTTACCCTACACAACCAACTCCCTGACTGCCACATATACCCGAAGAGGGGCAAAATTCAGAAACTGCAGACTTATTGTTGAAAATAATACACTTGCAGGGAGCAACAGCAAAAGACAAACGTGAGTCCTTACCTGATAAAGCTTTATGATGTGAGGATGATTCAGAAGCTTCATGATCTGAACCTCACGATATATTTTCTCCAAATTGCTTGAATCTAATCGAGTTTTATCTATTATTTTTATTGCAACCTACAGTTTAAAAGAAAGAATATTTTGTTTTAAAAAAATCTTTTGTTTACACATTATATTTTTTGCAGCTTAATTTCTAAAACGCTTTATGTCCCTAAAAGGTCACAAAAAGTTGGGGGAAAAAAATAACCAGAGTAACCATCAGTAGTACTTAAAACAATAAAAGTTAAGTCTCATAAGTCTCTGCTGGCTCCCTTTACAGGGCTCCGCTGGATCCCCAGCACCGCACTCCTGGGTTACGTGGTCATTACCCTCCCTGCCGTCCCCTAATATTTGTACGAATTATTCAGAATCATAATATAAAGCATTTTCTCTTCACGGAACTAAAAGCTGTCAGCGCTGAGACATTACATGAGGAACCTTAAGGACAGGGATTCCGCCCAGCAGCCCCCAGGATGGGTCCCCCCAGGCCGGGCCGGGTGGCCGCCCCACGCACCTGGGTTTTGGTGACTCGATGCCGGGCCAGCTTCACCACGGCGAAATTGCCCTTGCCCAGGGTCCGCTCGACGTCGTAGAAGCCCACCCGGAGGGGCTTGTGTTGGCCCTGGCTAGAGCCCACGGGCGCCGCGCTCAACTCGGACATGATCACCATGGCTCCAGGCCGCACCTGCGGGCCACCGGGAGCGCGCTCAGCGCCGGACCGACCCGACCCAGCCCGGCCCCGGGGTACGCGGCTCCGCTCCCCGCCGCCCCCACGCTCTGCTCGGATCCAACCTCCTCACCCCGCCGGGCGCGTACCCGCTCCCACGCCCGCCCCGCCGCCCGGGTCCGCTCCACCCGGGTCCCCAAAACCCTCAGCCCTGCGGGGCGCCTGGACCCCCTCCACCCCGCCGTCCGCGGCCGGCTCCAACCCAACCGCGGATCCCCCAGCTTTGGCGGCGCGTGGGCCCGCTCCCACTCTCACCGCCCCCTGCCGGTGCTCGGCTCCACCCCGATCCTCCAGCCCCGGGGAGCGCCTGGACCCACTCCCACCCCGCCGCCCGCTGTCGGCTCCATCCCAACCCCCGAGCCCCGCGGGACGCCTGGACCCACTCCCAGCCCCCCGCCCGCGGTCAGCTCCATCCCGAACCCCGATCCCCCAGCCCCGAGGGGCTCCTGGACCGACTCCCACCCTGCCGCCCGGAACCCCAGCCCCGCGGGGCGCTGCGACCCGCCCCCACGCCGCCCCCCCACCCCGCCGCCCGCTGTCGGCTCCATCCCAACCCCCGAGCCCCGCGGGACGCCTGGACCCACTCCCAGCCCCCCGCCCGCGGTCAGCTCCATCCCGAACCCCGATCCCCCAGCCCCGAGGGGCTCCTGGACCGACTCCCACCCTGCCGCCGGGACCCCCAGCCCCGCGGGGCGCTGGGACGCGCTCCCACACCGTCCCCGCCCCACCGCCCACGGTCGGCTCCATCCCCACTCCCAGCTCCTCCCGGCGCGTGGACCCGCTCCCGCACCGCCCCCTGCCCCGCCGCCGGCGGCCGGCTCCAGCCCGACCCGCGATCCCGCAGGGCGCCTGAACACACTCCCACCGCGCCGCCCGAGGTCGGTTCCATCTCTACCCCCAGACCTTTTTAGCCCCGCGGGGCTTGTAACCCGCTCCCACGCCGCCCCCCGCTCCCCGCCCCATCCTGCTCCATTCCGACCCCCAGACCCTATTAGGCCCGCGGGTCTGGTAATCCGCTCCAACGCCGCCCCTCTCTACGCCGCCCGCGGTCCGCCCCATCCCGACCTCAGGACCGCGAGCCCTGCGGGGCTGGTAACCCGTTCCCGCGCCTCCCCCCGCCCGCCCCACAACAAAGGGGAGCCCGGCGGCGGCGGCGAGGCGAGCGGCGTC